TATACATACATATATACATACATACGTACATACATACATACATAAATACATACATACATACATACATACATACATATATACATACATATATATATATATACATACATACATACATACATACATACATACATACATACATACATACATACATACATACATACATACATACATACATACATACGTACGTACCGTTCATTTGCAAACAGGTGCGAAAGAGTGCGTACAGATTCTCATCTCTATGTGGTCTCAATTTTTCGCTCTCAGCATGACCTTACAATAACTTTTCGGTCAGGCTGTTTAATTGAAGCCCAGCTGATTGAACCTACCGGAAAACAGATCGAACTCTTCATCTAGGTGTAGCAACTTATACGCCGACCTCGCACGGAAGCCATCTTCCTTTGCTAGGCGGTAATAGAGATCTCGCTGCGACATCTTCTGCACTGAAGTCTGGGTGGCACATGAACCGATGCACTGTACTTAAAAAATGAAGTTAAAAGGGAATCTTATGAGGCTAGTATTTGGACTTGTCATAATCAATTAGTCGTATTGCGGACTGGTTCACTCGGGAGTGTTAAAACCTGGAGTTGGCAGTGTAATTGACCGATTAGTGCACTTGTGATTTGTTCAGGCCAGCATCAGTTTGAGGTGGTGTATAAGGGTATTCGGAAGGAAGTATGTATTGTACGAAATAAACCTTCACTCTGAGGAAAATCTCTGAAAACTTGAAACCTTAGCCTCCTTCAATAGGGCCCCGAACATGCACCCAATACGAAAGCGTATTTTCACTTTGAAAGCGTATGTACATACTTTATTCGAAATCGCCCGCCTTTTTTTTATACTACTGAGAACGTTACTTTCTGTACAAATCAAATGCACACGACTGACACTCTACCACACACGAGAGTCCTCGATGGAGTCGTGCAATTTAGTGGCATAGCAGCGTACAGGCATATCTCGTGCTATGGTTGGATGTTGTTGCTGCCGTGTTGGCTGTAGGTGATTGTGTAGGTGATTGGCGTGTTTGCGTGCACACAGGTGTCGTTGGGGGGCTAAGAGTGTGATGTTACATACAGGTCTGTTCCCACAGCGTATACCTAACAGTAAGGGTTCTACCACACTCCCTCACTATATGAGACAACAACTGCGAACGTTTGCGTTTGTATATTCGCAGACTTGTGTAGTACGCATAGTATAACGCAGATAGAATGCAGTGCACATAGGTGCGGGTGGACTATTATAGTGCAAATACTTGAGGCTGAGGTCTGTGTGCCTGCTCTCTGTGTTTTGAGCCTGAGCTTCATTGAATATTTGCTCCTAATACTGATCGAGCTAGCGCTTTATGATTTATATATTATAATGACGTTTTCAGCTAAGTAGTAGTGTTGAGGTGTGCCACCACTTATCAAAGCATGCAGATTTGTGCGTGACACTTTGCGGGTTATTTATGTAGTGCCGAGTTTGTGTTTACACCCGCGATGAGGATTACCGAGAAGCATTTGAAGACTTGTGTCCAGTCTAATGATAGTCGGACGTGGTCGCATTTTTCACTCAACACGCGCGTATTGTTATGCAACACAAATCACTGACGAAGTCAGCAGACTGTGTAATTACTGATTATTCTGTATACAGACTACGGCAAGTCTCTTCTGCTGTAGAACGGGTAAATGTGTGTACGTTTTACTTAACGCTCGCTAGTTTGTTCAGAAACGCCTGGGCGATTCTCTGTGTTTTGCTTGTGAAGATAAATCAGCCGAGGGTCTAGATGTGTAGCCAGTTTAACTTGCTTCAATCTACGTGGCCGAACTTGTCTAGCGTTTTAATATCTGAAGCAAACTGTCCTGCATTAACCGTGTCATCGCTAAACATAGTCTGTATAGGTTACTTACTTACTTACTCATATATATATATATGTGTGTATGTGTGTCTGTGTCTGTGTCTGTGTCTGTGTGTAAATGTGTGCGTGTGTACACGTGTGTGTCTGTGTATTGTGTACGTATA